GGACATTGGTTCCAGGACCTCCTTTGGATGTCAAAATCTAAGGATGCCTAAGTTCCTGATATAAAATGCCATAATATTTGCATATAACCTATGCTTATCATGTCCAGATTACTTTTAATTCCCAACACAATGTAAATGCCATGTAAACAGTTGTTATACTATATTATTTAGGGAATGATGACAAGAAAAAAACTTTGCACAGGTTCAGTACAGATGTAACCCTCTATTTTTTTTTCTGAATATTTTTGATTTGTGTTTGGTTGAATCCATGGATGTAGAACCCAGAGATACAGAGGGCTAACTGTATTTTCTTTCTTTTTTTTTTTTTTCTGAGAGTCTTGCTTTGTTGCCCAGGCTAGAGTGAGTGCCGTGGCATCAGCCTAGCTCACAGCAACCTCAAACTCCTGGCTTCAACCAATCCTTCTGCCTCAGCCTCCCAAGTAGCTGGGACTACAGGCATGTGGCACCATGCCCAACTAATTTTTTTCTATATATATTAGTTGGCCAATTAATTTCTTTCTATTTATAGTAGAGATGGGGTCTCACTGTTGCTCAGGCTGGTTTCGAACTCCTGACCTTGAGCAATCCACCCGCCTGGGCCTTCCAGAATGCTAGGATTACAGGTGTGAGCCACCGCGCCCGGCCTGTATTTTCTTAAAAAGGGATGTTTATGTATACAAGTAACTTTTTATCAAGAAGAATATGGGCACTGAATTTGGAAACCTTGATTGCACAGGACTTCTCTAATTTTATTTTTGCAGGGCCTGTGACTAGATAACTACTAGAGATCTGAATTGTTTAATTTATGTTACAGATATGCTCATCCATGTAAACAGTGAAAACGAAAGCTTTAATCCTTTTTAGTGTCTTCTGGGTAATGTTATGTCTAATAATATAACAAAGAACTGATTTTGGAAGCAAGAATTATAGCAGGGTACCCAACAGATGATAAAACTTCTCATAAATAGATACTATCCATGGTTTAAAAAAATACAAAAAGGCTAAACATGACTGTTCATCTGAGTCTAGAATCTTTAATCATGACCTGAAATATCTACAGAGTAAGACATGCTTCAGAAAAAGCAGGAGCACACAGTGGAAGTCTGTACTGCTGTATCTCTGCTTTCTATTTCATCATTACTTGGCATTGAAGGTGTTTTGATTCTCAATCACACATTGTCAGTGACATTTACAGAAGTCCAGTGGAAATACTCGGTTTAGGGTGGAAACTGAATTGGTTGCCAACATATTCTTAATTTACATCAAGGTATTTCCTTTCTTAAAGAACAAGATAATTCTTCTAAAAGGGAAGGAATAGTAATCAGGGAACTTGCAGAATATAAGTAGGCTGCAGCTACTTCACAAAACAATACTGTTCATCATCCAGAGATAACAAGTGAACTTGGTGAAAGGGGTAGAAGGGAAATTTATTTTGGTAGCAATAGTGATGCTGTTTCAACACAGCACCAAAAAAAGTGGGGGTGGGGGAAGGACAACAATTCTAGAGCTTTCTCTCATTCATACAAGATATGCTTGAAATTATTTTTGCCTTTTTTTCCTTGTAGAAGAAGATAGGGAGGAGTATGGGATAAAATGTAAAGGTGAAAGATAAAGAACAAGTTTAAAGACTTGTCCATTGATCACAACCAGTTTGTGTGCCAGATTCACTACTGTGATAGTTTAAGGACATTCATCATAGACTCTTTTAATTATTTTATGGTAATTGAAACAAAGCTATCAAATGCAGCACTCCACTTTGTCATGGTCAACCTGTATCAGGCACAGTTTGTTCAGTTCTGCAAAACAGACTTTGAGAAGACTATCAGAGAACTGAAGCAGTGCAAAAGGAAGAACTCAGAAGGGAAGGGACTTGAAATTGTCTTTGTTGGAATATTGAAGGAACTAGTGAGAAAGGAAACTTTTAGGACTCTGATAGCTATCTTCAGATACTTGAAGATGAAAAAAAAGTAATAACATTTATTCTTTGTGGTTCTGATGTTGGAGCTAGGGCAAAAAATGTCAGTATAATAGTAAGGAAAATTTTGGCTCAGGAGAAACAAGGACTCATACCAATCAAGCAAACAGAATGCACTGCACTGAGTGGGCTCTAAGGGACCACAGCCTGGTTCACTGCTGCCTGGACACACTCTAAAAGGCACTAATGTATGCATGAAGGGGACTTTTAACATCATTCTTCAAGGGCAAAAATCTATGAAAATGGATATCATTTTTGAGCCTTTATTCTCTATTTATAGATTAGGAAACTAAAGATCAGGAAAATTAAAGAATTTACAAAAACCATTCTGCTGGCAGACTGACATGGTTAGAATTCTTATCCAATTGGTAAATGCCTATGTTCTTAACCACTAGGTATCTGGGGCACAAGAATCCCTCTTCAAGAGCATGTAAACAAATAGAGAATGATGCTGATTTCAGAGAATAAATCTACTTTCTTTTTCTAGAGCTGCACCTGTAGCTCAAGGAAAAAAATAAAAGATAAACCACTCTTCTCTGCAAAGGAGGATGACTAAATAGGAGGAAGCTCAGAATGACATAAAGTAAAGAAAGTGACTTTAGTTCTTTATTAGACTCTTTCTCATTACTCCTCACCTCCACCTCCACTCCCAGTGGAGCCAACTAGTAAAAACAGCTTTTAACTTTGAGCTCCTGTCATGGCTACATATTAGCACTATGTCAGAGTTCAGGATCTATTCTGTTAAACAGCTGGTTCTGACCCTCCTGTTAAAGTCACTGCAAGATGACTTGAGAAAAACCAAAGGGCCAGACCAGGAACCTAAACCAACTCCCATCCAGCCCATGGCTGCTGGATTCTGAGGAATAAGTGAAGAGAGGACACTTAGGCAAATGCATATTCTTTACTGCTCCATAGCAGGTTAAGTCCCAAATGCCCTTTTGGTCTTTCTTGGTGACCTGGACATCATGTAAATCTGTAGGATTGCATTTGTTCAAGGGCCTGTCCATTCCTCTGAGACCCAATATTATTTTTTCTTGCCCTTCTAAGGGCAAAGTACTTTCAAATGGTTCATAGCCAGGTCCTGGGTAACATTTCAGGCACAGGACATAGATGAGAGAGAAGATCAAAAAGAAAATCAAACCCACTTTCTTGTTTGATCAAAGACATCAACCAAACCCCATTGTGGGGTTTGGAGGATTCCATTTTGTCTTCTGCCTAGCAGGGCCCTTGAAGGGAACTAGGTTCCCTATGAGAGAGATTAGGGTGAGACAAGTGAGGCTGGGTCATGCAAGTGCAGGGTAGGCCCCTGTCTTTATATTTTGCTCACCATGGATATTTTTGCATTAATTTTGATTACTGAGTTTTTTGGTGCCCTGTTAATTTTGCTTCAATTGCCTTACCCTGGTTCTGACCTGCCAGGACACTTGATCCTATTTAGGTCCATGAGTATTAGGTAGTCTGATATATTGAAAGAGCCCTGGAACTCAGTAGAGATGGCTCTAAGTCTTACCTCTGAATATCACTAGCTGTGACTTTGGAAGAGGCCCCTTCCTACTTGGGACCCTAGGTGCCTCATGTGGAAAATTTAGGTGACATCTAGTTCTAAACATTATAATTCTGCCCTTGGGCTTTCCTAACTAACAGTGAAGCTTAAAAATAACAGGAAAGTATAGTCTAGGTTGCTTTATGGCTATCCATACCTCCAAGTGGCACCAAATCCAGTGTTTTGCACAGAGTAGACATTTAAACAATTTCTTCAAGTAAATTTTTTTTGCACATTGTAACAAAAATATGGACCGAAGTCCAAAACAAAAAGACTACACAAATTAAAAACATTCTGCAATTACAACAAAAACCTCCCAAACAATAATATTGTCCCTCCCTCATTCCTCCCACAAGAAAGAATGAATCTGAAATCATTGGCCTTTCTGATTCATTTAAGTATTGCAAAGTCTTACTGCCTTTTTTTCCAGGAAATATTTTATTCAAATATTTCAGGTTTTGAGTGAGGCACACTTATGTAATCATTCTGCCCTTGGGGATTTCTTTCCATCTAAAGATACTAGTACCACCCTAATGAGTCACATTTTATAAAATGTAACATCTGTGAGAGAAGGTTATAAACATCAGCTGTACAACTTTAGAAGAAACAGAATTTTCACTTTCCAACTAGTTCTTCATATTTAAGTTTGCATAACAAGAGAGAAAGAGGGAAAGGGAAAGATGGAGAAGGTTGGTAGGGAGAGGGATCCTGGTTCAATGGTAAAATATATGACCTTAAAATATAAAAATATAATAAGTAGCCTAAACATTTGTATCCACACAATATACTAAAACAATAAAATAAAAATATAAAATATATTTTAAGAACTCTTTTTTTTGAGATAGTCTCACTCTGTGGCCCCAGCTAGAGTGCTGTGGTGTCAGCCTAGCTTACAGCAACCTCAAACTCCTGGGCTCAAGCAATCCTCCAGCCTTGGCCTCCCAGTGCTAGGATTGCAGGCATGAGCCACTGCGCCCAGCCTAATTCATCTTTAAAACTACTGAAGAAGAGACATATTAACAGTAATATAGGGGCAGGCGCAGATCGCTCAACGTCAGGAGTTCGAAACCAGCCTGAGCAAGAGCAAGACCCTGTCTCTAAAAAAAAAAGGAAAGAAAGAAAGAAAGAAAGAAAGAAAGAAAGAAAGAAAGAAAGAAAGAAAGAAAGAAAGAAATTGACCAACTAAAAATATATAGAAAAATTAGCTGGGCATGGTGGCACATGCCTGTAGTCCCAGCTACTCTGGAGGCTGAGGCAGAAGGATTGCTTGAGCCCAGGAGTTTGAGGTTGCTGTGAGCTAGGCTGATGCCGCGGCACTCTAGCCCGGGCAAGAGAGTGAGACTGTCTCAAAAAAAAAAAAAGTAACTATAGGGATCTTGATTTTACTTGCATTCTACATAAAGTTTTGAAGGCTCTTAAAAGTGGAAATTAGAATACCCATTCCATTATTTCTAAAAAAGAATCTAATTTTACCATACTAACCTGGAAAATGAAACTGAAAGCATCCAAAAGACTCTTTAGAATAACCTGTCTTCTTTCATTTCAGCATTCACTTGTTAAGCAACACCTACACTGAACTTTATGCCAGTTACACTACAAAGCAAATAATCTTCTCCAACAGGTTTTCCTAGCTGGTAATGTGTTTAGGCGGCAATTACAGGCTCTGAATTATTTTCCTAAAATGGATCTGGCAAGCCTCCATTAAAGGAGTGTATAATATTGACTAATGGTTTATTCAGTGCCTTTTCACGACCAGAAAAAAGTCAATGTGGTGTGCCCCAGCAGGGTCCCAATCAACCACTTTTCATTTGCATTTCCACAGGATGTGCACCATTCACCAAGGGCACTGAGATTAGTGCCCTGTGGTGATTTGTTCTGTCATTAAAACATGCTAAATTTCTGCCCAAACACAAGCTTTCTCCTTGACCCTGAGCTGGATGTGAGTCAACAAAAGGGATGTGACAACAACAAAAAAATGTGAACTTGCCTGTTGGGCTGTATTAATACAATTGAGGGAGTGTTTGTCCAATTTTACTTGAATTGGTCAGACAGCACCTGGGGGTATTGTGCTATTTTCTGGGAATTACAGTTTAAGAGGAACAATGATAAACTGGAATGTGTAAGAGGAGAGGGAACCGGATGAAGAGAAAGCTTGAAACTGCATCATGTGAGGAACACTGAATGAATTGGTGAAGGCTATTTATCTTGGAAAAGAAAGACCAGGATAGGCCTATCCCGACCCCAAACGGGAGTCCTGCGCCCTGGCCTCTCTCGCGGGCTCTAAGTCGGGGTGGGGTTGGGGGCGACAAAATGTTCTCTCTCAAAAGTGGAACAGGGTGGCAATGTGGAGCGCGATACGTGCGCCATCTGCAGGGTCCAGGTGACGGATACCTTAGATGTGGAGCTGAAAACAGACAAGGATTGGGTTGTGGTATGAGGAGAATGTAATTCCTTCCACAACTGCTGTATGTCCCTGTGGGTGAAACAGAATAATCACTGCCCTCTCGACCAGAAGGACTGGGTGGTCCAAAGAATCGGCAAATGACAGTGGTAGGAGGCTTGCTTAGTGCAGTCGTGGGGAGCCTTGGTGGATCTTGTTATCAAGTGCCCCACAAAAGCTCGAACACTGGGGGGGGGGATTAATTCTTCGCATAAGGAGCCAATGGATTTGTGGTCCTTTCAGACGTATCAGAGGCATCGTTTTGCATCTTGTCAGTTTTCTTTTCAGAAATTCTCCACAATTAAGAAGATAATTTATTAAAAATGGTCTTTCCAAGCCGGGCGCGGTGGCTCACGCCTGTAATCCTAGCACTCTGGGAGGCTGAGGCGGGCGGATTGCTCGAGGTCAAGAGTCCGAAACCAGCCTGAGCAAGAGCACTTCCAAAGAGATAACAGACTGGAAATTTATAAGGGAAGAGTTCTCATTCTCCAACTGCTATTGGAGAGCCAAAGCAGGGATTCGCTCGAGTCCAGGAGTTACAACTAGGGTTTAAACTGCACTTTATTTGCTACTATAATAGCTGTCTTTTAACTGATCAATCACAAGCGGGCAACAAGTTTCTGAAAGGAACTGCTTCCACAACTCAGTGTGTAGCAGCAGGAAAAACAAAGGTCACTCAATTTGGAGTTCTCTCCTTTTTTATAGCACTTCTTTTTTGTTGTTGTTTACTTGTTTTTAAAAGCCAGTCTAATTTAGCAGTGGGGTTGAATACCAACTTTAGTGACACTATGTCAATACGTTCTGGTAACCCACTACCATCGACCAACTTTTATAGCACTTCTAAGCATTGTTGTGACATATACCACAGAGGTAGGAAAGACCATTTTTTGAGACAGAGTTCGCTTTGACCAGGCTAGAGTGAGTGCCATGGCGTCAGTCTAGCTCACAGCAACCTCAAACTCTGGCTCAAGCAATCCTTCTGCCTCAGCCTCCCGAGTAGCTGGGACTACAGGCATGCGCAACCATGCCCGGCTAATTTATATAATATTAGTTGGCCAATTAATTCTTTCTATTTATAGTAGAGACGGGGTCT